CAATTTCATTCCCTTCCACACCCGAATGTGCTGGGACCCAGCAGAATCTCACTACTACACCCATTCTCTCAATTCTCCATAATAACATTAATACCTCCAAAAGTAGGTCACTCCTATTAGATTTACCAGATGATAAACTATTCAATACTGTTGTGGAAAATAACCACTATTCATTATTACAAATAAGGTCTTACAGAGTTTTTGTTACATCAAGAAATGACTTTATTAAAGTTTTCAACAAAGCCGATACCAGTCTGCAGAATGGCACCCCGTTCTCCATTCCTCACGTCACATTGTATACCATCATCCCCAACTCTTCTAGCTCAAAATCCCTCCCTCTTCAGTTTCCCGCTCTTTATCACTCCACACCCACTTCCTTTGTCCCTGAGGACGGCTGAACTATTACTCCAACCAATCACTCGCTCCCCTGTCTTGCACACACACTCATGTTTAGTTTAAAAATGACAAGGCCCTAAATTCTTGAATCACACACCAACCTCACCCCCTCATGCTGTAATCAATCAAGAAGATACCAAGGAGACAAAGGTCTAGCCCAAACTCTATTCAACCCTGGTGCCGCTCCCTTCACTGTGTTTGAAGAGAGAGACAAAAGGCCACAAGCTAGTTTCAGTCTCTCATCAGATAAGACAGCCATGGATTTAAGTAAGAGCAAGCACTCTGACCCTAGGGCAGATTCCCTCTCTACTCACCCACACAGTGAAATTAAATGACCCAATACAATTCCTGGCACAGTAACAAAGAATTCTAACTTTATGCTCTTGATTAACCCAGTTCTACAGCATAGTCCATTAAACTCTACAGTTCATTAATAATAATTCACCACAATACAAACAGAGAATCTGAGCATACTATAATTCATTATTTTTTCATGATATCCAATTGCAATCTTCTCTCAATTGCAACTCCCCAATGGGCTCGGGAGAGGTCAAGTCATGCATCCTCCAAACCAACGTGTCAGAGGAAACACAATTCAACTGACGACCGAAGTCAGCCTGCAGGCACCAAGCCCACCCAAGTAAAGCCCCCCCGGCCAAACCTTCCCCAATTGTGCGGCACCCTATTGGACTCCCGGTCATGACACAGCCTGGGATCGAACCCCGGTCTGTGGTGACGCCTCAAGCACTGTGATGCAGTGACTTAGACCGCTGTGCCACTCGAGAGGCCAGACATACTATAATTCTAACAGGTTATACGTCCTCCACCCACTGGAGGGAACGCCTCCCTACTAATCATTTTTTTCTTATCTAGCCATGTGTTTCCGCATACTGTTCTGGTCCCAGTTTCCCAAAAGCATCTAAAGGCTAAATCTATGTTTAGAACCTTAAATAGAGCCCCACTGTGGAGGTGTCATTATAAACTCAGCAAAAAAAGAAATGTCCCTTTTTCAGGACCCTGTCTTTCAAAGATAATTCGTAAAATTCCAAATAACTTCACAGATCTTCATTGTAAAGGGTTTAAACACTGTTTCCCATACTTGTTCAATTAACCATAAACAATTAATGAACATGCACCTGTGGAACGGTCGTTAAGACACTAACAGCTTACAGACGATAGGCAATTAAGGTCACAGTTATGAAAACTTAGGACACTAAAGAGAACTTTCTACTGACTCTGAAAAACACCAAAAGAAAGATGCCCAGGGTCCCTGCTCATCTGCGTGAACGTGCCTTAGGCATGCTGCAAGGAGGCATGAGGAATGCAGATCTGGCCAGGGCAATAAATTGCAATGTCCGTACTGTGAGACGCCTAAGACAGTGCTACAGGGAGACAGGACAGACAGCTGATCGTCCTCGCAGTGGCAGACCACGTGTAACAACACCTGCACAGGATCGGTATTTACACATGTTAGGTTTGCTGAAAATAAATGCAGTTGACAGTGAGAGGACGTTTCTTTTTTTGCTGAGTTTACCTATAAAACCTACCATCAAACAAGGACATGGTTCCAATCGTTTTTCCACCATTCATTTTTCCCATAGGGAATTTTATGTAGAAACACTTTTAAAAAAAGCTGTGTTTTTGGGTAGCCTTACCCTGGTGTGACGTTTTGATAACCATGTAAATCCCTCTCGGAAAAAATACTAATTAGCATCAAAGTAGACATCATGCGCTTCCCGAGTGGCGCAGCGGTCTAAGGCACTGCACTGCAGTGCTCGAGGCGTCACTACAGACCCTGTTTCGAACCCAGGCTGTATCACAGCCGGCCGTGACTGGGAGACCTATGAGGCAGCGTACAATTAGCCCGCGTCGTCCAGGTTAAAGGAGGGTTTGGCCGGCCGGGATTTCCTTGTCCCATCGCGCTCTAGGGACTCCTTGTGGTGGGCAGGGTGCCTGCAAGTTGACTTCGGTCGCCAGCTGGATGGTTTTTCCTCTGACACATTGGTGCTTCTGGGTGAAGCGAGCAGTGTTGCTTGGCATGGTCGTGTTTCAGAGGACGCATGGCTCTCGACCTTCACCTCTCCCAAATCTGTAGGGGAGTGGCCTCCCAAATCTGTAGGGGAGTGGCATCGATGGGACTAGACTGTAACTACCAATTGGATATCGAGAAAAAGGGTTAAAAGTAAATAAAAAAATAATCTCCACTACTTGGCCATATCTTATCCTACACCAGGCCGGCAGCTTCGGACGATGGGACACTATCGTTCAACACACCTTATAACTCTTCTGCAGTAAAATCTCATACACCCAACTACTTCTCTGCAGCTGCCACCACAACATCTATTTTCTTTGATATACAGTACGTTCCATTTCTGCAATACAGTTGATAACTATGGCTATGGACGCTAACAAACCAACCTTACTGCAGCACATGTTATTCCTATCACTCTCTACTTGCCTCGGCCTACTCACAGGAAGCCACTTAGGATCCCTCGCACTGGACCCATCTTCCTCTACTACTCTCTTCACTGCCTCAGCATACAACACTTTCTGTACTGCTCTGATCCTGGCAACCTCAACCTGCCTTTCTCTCACCGGACACTTCTGATCTCCAGCAACATGGGTACCCCTACAGTTAACACACAACTTTTTCCACCGATACTACACATTATTTTGTCTCATGCCCTCCTGCACACTTCTCACATTTAGGAGTCTCCCTCCTACTCACTGCTGCAACATGACAATAAGCTTGGTACCTAAAACACCGTAAAGGGTTTGGGACAAAAGCTCTCACCGGATAACTGACGCATCCTCACTTTACTTTGTCGAGTACAGACAGTGTCTTCTCTGTTTCACCATGCTCTCCACCAGGTCTGCGTCACACCAAACGGCGGGCATCAAAGACACTGAGAATCTTCAATTTCAGTTGATCCTCCTCAACATAATTATGATAGGGAAATGCAGGCTTCAGACAATCTAAAATACATGTAATGATCTAAACCTTAGCCAGCTGGTGACTAAGCCTACACGACCCAACCCTAAAGATCCTTCAAAGTCAACTCTGATCTTATTTTAATGAATACACCAGAGAAATATGTTTCTACTGGTGTCTTCGCCCAAGACATTAGTGACCATTGCCAAGTTGTTTTTAACATGATCTTTATTTGAGTGACCTTGATGGTATTTCAGCTATCCCTGAACCTAATTTAGCTTTGAGCATTTTTTCAGGTGTCTTCAATACTATGCATGCTCCCTTAAAAAAACTAAGGGTTAAAGGTAGGTCGAATACCTGGTACACTCCGGAATTATCAGAAGTCATTCATAAAAGAGATTATGCTTCGGTCAAGGCCAGGAACACAGGCTTAGGCCCAGACTGGCAAGATTTTAAGCAACTGAGGAATCATTGTGTAAGACAAATCAGAAAGGCTAAATTTTTTTGGATTGTAATGGGAACCCGGCTAAATTCTGGAAAACTGTAAAATCCCTGAAAGGTTCTACCTCCTCTCTGCCACAACAAATTAATTCAGACACAGGCCATCATTAAAGCATTTAATCATTTAATTTTACAGGCCCTCTTTGAAATAACTTCAAAGCCTATTCACAATGATACTGGGCTGGATGCTGATAAGGGACACTTGTTGTTGTTATCAGGAAATATTCCAAAAGTATAGAAATCAATCAATCTATCAATAACAATTTCTTTATAAAGCATTTTTTACATCAGCAGATGTCACAAAGTGCTAAACAGAAACCCAGCCTAAAACCCCAAACAGCAAGCGATGCAGATGTAGAAGCGCGGTGGCTAGGAAAAACTCCCTAGAAAGGCACAAACCTAGAGAACAACCAGGCTCTGAGGGGTGGCCGGTGCCCTTCTGTCTGTTCCGGGTGGAGATTATAACAGTACGTGGCCATTAAGGGCACATTTTTCTCCAAGATGTTAAAACGTTCATAGATGACCAGCAGGGTCAAATAATAATCACAGTGGTTGTAGAGGTTGCAACAGGTCAGTACATCAGGAGTAAATGTCACTTGGCTTTTCATTGCCGGGCATTTAGAGGTTGAAATAGCAGGTGCGGTAGAGAGAGAGAGTTGAAAACAGCAGGTTGAAAACAGCAGCACGACCAGGTGGACTGGGGACAGCAAGGAGTCATCAGGCCAGGTAGTCCTGAGGCATGGTCCTAGGGCTAAGGTCCTCCGGGATGGGAGGGAGAGAGAGAGAATTAGAGGGAGCATTCTTAAATTCACACAGGACACCGGATAAGACAGGAGAATAACACCAGATATAACAGACTGACCCTAGCCCCCCGGCACATAGACTATTGCAGCATAGATACTGGAGGCTGAGACGGGGGGGGGGGGGTCAGGAGACACTGTGCTGCCACTCCATAAGGGCGGGGATAGTAGTGATCTTAATTATCGCCCCATTTCAAGGCTTCCTTGTCTAGCAAACAAATCTCTGCTCCTGTGGGAGGGAGGGTACTGGGCATAGAATTTGAATTTCTGTCTGTAAATGTACACTGTATAACTTCTATGCACCAAATGTGGAGGTGGAAAGAAGGGCGTTATTCGAGACACTGGGTCCACTGTGTAAAGAACATTGCATCATGGTGGGCGACATTAATGTTTGGTGTGACCAGATGTACACCACGGTGAGCTCACATTTCAGGTGGGACGAGTCCAGGACCACCCTGCTGAACGTGATGGCCACAAAGGGCCTGGTTGATGTGTGGAGGGAGAGGAATCCTGGCAAGAGGGAGTACTCCAGGCGGCAGGTCGTCATGGGAAAGATGCGCCAGAGCCGAATCGACCTGTGCCACGCAACGAGGGAGACGACACGCTACTTGAAAAAGTGCTGGCATGGTGTGTGGAATAGGTATGGGAGGAGGAAGAAAGGGATCCTACCAAAAGACTCCAGGTCATGTGACAAGATGGTGTAATGAACACACAGCTGTGCGAATCACCTCAAGATAAAAACGTAATATTTAATATCAGCAAGTTAGACTAAATATTAGCACTTCATATACTCGTGGGTAATAACATTCAATCTGGATAATAACACAAAATAAATCATAAGGCTAGAGAAATTTATCGACAAATATTACAACAACAAGCAACACTCAAACATGATGGAGAGAAAACGCGACTCCTCGACGGATACAGATGATTTATGCTTTTCACCACTGGGACTGGTAAGTGTGGAAAGCGATCTGTTGAAGTCGATAAATGACAAACTGGGCATACTGGAGTTGGTCAGTAAGGATGTAAAGGAGTTGAAGGCGAGTCTTGAAATGACTGACGAAAAAGCTGCGATAATGGAGAAAGCTAAAAGGGACAGTCACTAAGATAGAAACGGACGTTAAAAAGGAGAACAACTTTCTGAGAGAAGCCTTACTAGACATACAGACTAGATCGATGAGAGAAAATCTAGTACTTACGGGTATCCAAGAAAAAGAAGGAGAGGTTACCGAGAAAATAGTGGACTTCTTTCTTACGGCACTTCAAATCCCACTCGATGCTGTCGATAAAATCCAACTCGAACATGTACACTGTTTCGGACAAAGAGGACAGAGATATGAGCGTCCAATCATTCCCAAATGTACTTTCTTTAAGGATAAAGTAATGGTTAAAAGCCTAGGTAAAAGACTTGCTGGCACAAAAAAAGGCATGAATGATCAGTTCCCGCGGGAGATTGCAGAATGGCGCAAAGTTCTGTACCCAATATTCAAGGAAAATAGATTAAAAGGGAAGCGCGTTGCTCTCGTAGTCGATAAACTGTATATTGACAACCAAATGTTCCGCGACACAAGGACTACTCCATGGTTATTCTGAAAGTTCTAATAGAGGAGTTGAATAATGGAACATCCAATACTAGCCATGGTAGAGATTGTAATAATAAAACACATTTATAGTATTTATAGTATTCTATAAAGGGACAAGGCGGCATTACAAGAAAGGATAACGAGCTAAATACTACATCTTCAAACATAACTCATTAGAACACAAAAGTACTCAATCAACATAGTGGAGATAAAAACACAGAAAACAGAAGACATAGAAGGCACAGTATGTGGGTATGTGTGGCAGTATTGTGATGGAAGGTGTGGTGTGTGTTTTTGTGTTTGGAAAAGTGTGGCGTTAAGTGAGTGAGAAAGGAAATGGTTGCATATCCCAGAACCAACGTGTGTCTGTGAGCAGGGGTTGTGAGAGAGACCTTTCAATTTTGGGCAGATGAGGGATATACATTTTAAAATAAAGTATACATTGAATTTATTTTTTATTGTCCTATCATGTTGGAACAGTCCCCAACCCATATCCTAGACACCCACCTGAGCGACCCATACACCAAAGAGAAGTCCCCATCTGTATTATGGCCCTGTAAGTTGCCTATATGCAGCCAAAACAGAGAGATAAATGCGGTCAGAGACCTACTAGAGCAACAACACCCCCTCAAGATTCTGAGCCTGCCTGGCAGGGTTGGTCCTACAAAGCCAGAGCCCCCTGATTGGAGAGCATAATATACATATAAATTCTCAAAGCTGCTAATGAGAACCTTGACGACCTTGTACCTAGCCGGTAGGAATTCCGGTGGGGTACCCTCACCCAGGTAGTGGCAGTGCTGGCAACATTGGCTGCAGTAACCCATGGGGAGGGGGTCACACTGGGACAATCAGAGAGGGGGCATATTATTGTGGCCCTAGTGGCACAAAATAATCAAATGTCTGACTGCACGGAGATGCTTGGGACAATGGGTACAACGGAGGACCAGAGTGTTTGTGTTTCAGGGGAAGAGGGTGGATCTGATCTCCATCACCTAGGACTTGACATAGGTTAATCAAATCTCAAAATGTTGTCAATTTTTGCTAAATCTTGCATGCTTTCTCAAACAGCTGTAAATGTATATGCATTCATAAATCAGGTCCTTTCTTGAGTTGGTCTCTGGGATTGTCACGGATTTTGCCGAGGCTGCCCTTCCTCGTTGCTTGGGCAGGCTTCGGCGTTCGTCGTCACCGGAGAACTAGCTGTGTTCTATGTTTCTATGTTCTACCTGTTGTTGTCTGATTGTTTCACACCTGTTTCCCATCTTGTAATTACTCCGTCCCTATTTAACCCTGTGGCTCCGATTGTGCTCTGTGCGTGTTTTTTTTTTCTTTTTCGGGTGTCGTTAGTGAGCGGGTTTGTTCCTCCCTGCGTGGAGGTTTTCTTGTTTCTTTACATGTTCAGTAAAGTTACGTTTTCATTGAGTTCTGTGTCCTGCGCCTGCCTTCGTCTACCGCATTTCACTGACACCATTACAGGGATGTAACAACAATTGAGCAACTGGGCTTATGGTTGATTGTGGAGGAAAGGGGTTGAGTGTGTAAGAGTATGTGCGTGTGTGTGTGTGTGTGTGTGTGTGTGTGTGTGTGTGTGTGTGTCCCACATCTGTTGCAAGGGGGTAAGGATGTTAGGGAGAATATAGGATGAACCATAATAATGATTTACTAAAATAAAAATTGCTTGACAAAAATGTAATGTAATGCAATGGCAATCCGGGTTATAGGTAATAATCCGTCGCATGAACTGCCAACATTATCATACATATTAATTAATAATGATGGAAATTAAGATATGCAAGATATTTGAATAGATATATATTTTTAATAGCTATATATATATATATACATATAGCAAATTGAGGTGAGAGCATTGGAAATGCTTTTGGCGGTTGACCTGCTTCTGTTTTGTGGGTGGCACTGTGTGCTGTTTTCGAAGGATGGGTCCTGGCCTCTCGGGGGGCCTAGGGATCCGAGGGGATGGGGGTGGTCTGCCAATCACTGGGATGACAACCCAACTTGGGTTGGGGAGGGGCTTTAGCGGGGGGAATAGTGGATAACAATTGGAGGGTGAATCAGTAGCAATGCAAATATCATGGTACAGCTTTATGGACACTTAATCACTATGGTACTTTGTACTGGTAAATTTACAAACATGATAAATAGATTTGAAACTTGTATCTCATTATGGTAAGTGGTGAAATAAGTATAGCCAGTTATACAATATATATAATAAAGTATCAACCCTGCAAGCAATTCAAGACTCTATTATTATGGTGGGAGATTATAATACTGTTTTAAACAGCTCAATTGACCGTAATGGAAATCACACTACAAACTATCACTGTCATGCTCTTAACAAAATCATGAATGTCATGGATACATTAGAACTAGTGGATATATGGAGGCTTAAATATCCTGACCTAGTGAGATATACATGGCGGAGACTCAATCAAGCTTGTCGTCTTGACTTATTTTTTATGTCATTCTCATTGGCACCAAAAGTTAAAAGACTGTTGATAGGGGACAGAATGCGGTCGGACCATAATATAATTGGCATATACATTACTCTTACTGAATTTCCTCGTGGGCGAGGAGATAGCAATAAAAACTAATATATAGGCTCAGAATAAATTAGAGGAAAAAAAATAAATAAATGGAGAAACGTATTCAAAAACGATCAAGTGTAATATATTATAAAAATAAGGCAACCTGGATGGAATATTGGGACAAATGCACACAATTATTTTTGAATCTTCCACATAGAAATGCTACCAAAAAGACAAATGACGGAGTCACCCATGATTCACCAAGTGATATTTTGAAGGAGGAAGCAAAGTACTTTAAGCATATGTTTTCATTTCATTCGCCTCCATCTCCTCTAACTGAAGGTAATTGTAGGGATTCTTTTCTATTGATAATGTAAAATTAACAGCCATACAGAAAAACTAATATGAAGGTGAAATTATAGAGGAGGAACTTCTGGATGCAATTAAATACTTTAAGTCCGGGAAAACTCAAGGGTTGGATGGCATACCAGTTGAGGTATACCAAACCTTTTTTGATATACTCAGAAGACCGTTATTAGCATGTTTTAACCACTCCTATGTAAATGGTAGATTATCAGACTCTCAAGAAGAAGGTGTGATTTAATTATTACTGAAACAGGATACAAGTGGGAAATATAAAGATATAGTCCATTAAAAAAATTGGAGACCCCTTACACTTCAGTGTTGTGATACAAAAATTCTAGCAAAATGTATAGTGCATAGAATTATAAAGGTATTGTCAGACATTATTCATTCTAATCAGACAGGTCTTTTTACATGGACGATACATTGGAGATAATATAAGGCAAGTACTGGAAATAATGGAACACTATGAAAAATCTGGGAAACAGGCCTGCTATTAATAGCTGACTTTGAAAAGGCATTTGATAAAGTACGACTGGAGTTTATATATAAATGCCTGGAGCATTTCAATTTTTGAGAATCTCTTATAAAATGGGTTAAAATCATGTATGGTAACCCTAGGTGGAAAATAGTAAATAATGGCTATTTCTCAGAAAGTTTTAAACTCTCAAGAGGAGTAAAACAAGGTTGTCCACATTCGGTATATCTATTTATTATGGCCATCGAGATGTTAGCTATTAAAATCAGATCCAACAATAATATCAAGGGATTAGAAATCCAGGGTTTAAAAACAAAGGTGTCACTGTACGCTGATGATTCATGCTTTCTTTTAAATCCACAACTTGAATCCCTCCACAGCTTCATAGAGGATCTATATACATTTTCTAACCTCTCTGGATTACAACCAAATTATGAAAAATGTACTATATTACGTATTGGATCATTAAAAAATACATTTTTTACATTACAGTGTAGTTTACCAATAAAATGGTCTGATGGTGATGTGGATATACTCGAAATACATATCTCAAATGAAATAAATGATCTCACTCCAATACATTTTAATAGAAAGTTAGTAAAAATAGGTAAGATCTTGCTACCATGGAAAGTTAAATACTTGTCTGTTTGTGGAAAAATCACCCTGATTAACTCTTTAGTATTATCCCAGTTTGCCTATTTGCTTATGGTCTTGCCTACGCCTAGCGAATAGTTTTTTAATTATATGATAAAAAAAGATTTAATTTTATTTGGAACGGCAAGCCAGACAAAATTCAACAGGCCTATTTATATAATGAATATGTCACGGTCGTCTATGTCGTCTAAGTATGACCAAGGCGCAGCGTGTCCAAGAAACATGACTTTATTTGAGTAAAGCACGTAATACAAAACAAAAGACGACTCAATGAAGTCCACGGTACACTGACCGAAACGGAACAAAAACCCACAACTCCCACAGGAAAACATACAGATAAATATGGCTCCCAATCAGAGATAACGAGCCGACAGCTGACACTCGTTACCTCCGATTGGGAGTCATTGACCAAACCTAGAAATGAACCCCACAGAAATGCAAACATAGAAATACACCCAAATACCCAACAAAACAAAATACACCCTGGCTCAAATACAAAAGTCCCGGAGCCAGAGTGTCACAGTACCCCCCCCTAAAGGTGCGAACTCCGGGCGCACCAGCATACAGTCTAGGGGAGGGTCTGGGTGGGCGTCTGTCCACGGTGGCGGTTCTGGCCCTGGTCGTGGTCCCCACCCCACCTTAGTCACTATCCGCTTCCGTAGCCTCCTCCACATGACCACCCCCCAACTAAACCCCACTGGATTAAGGGGCGGCACCGGACTAAAGGGCAGCACCGGACTAAGGGGCAGCACCGGACTAAGGGGCAGTACCGGACTAAGGGGCAGCACCAGGATAAGGGGCAGCACCGGGCTAAGGGACAGCACCGGACTCAATGGCGGATCCTGGCTGGCTGGCTCTGGCGGATCCTGGCTGGACGGCTCTGGCGGATCCTGGCTGGACGGCTCATGGCTGGCTGAAGGATCTGGCTGCTCATGGCTGGCCGACGGATCTGGCTGCTCATGGCTGGCCGACGGATCTGGCTGCTCATGGCTGGCTGAAGGATCTGGCTGCTCATGGCTGGCTGACGGATCTGGCTGCTCATGGCTGGCTGACGGATCTGGCTGCTCATGGCTGGCGGAAGGCTCTGGCTGATCCTGTCTGGCGGAAGGCTCTGGCTGATCCTGTCTGGCGGAAGGCTCTAGCGGCTCCGGTCTGGCGGACGGCTCTGAAGGCTCATGGCAGACGGGCGGCTTTGCAGGCTCAGTCCAGACGGCCAGTTCAAGCGCCTTTGGGCAGACGGGCAGTTCAGGCCCCGTTGGGCAGACGGCAGACTCTGGCCGTCTGAGGCGCACCGTAGGCCTGGTGCGTGGTGCCGGAACTGGAGGTACCGGGCTGAGGACACGCATCTCAGGGCTAGTGCGGGGAGAAGCAACAGGGCATGCTGGACCCTGGGAACGCACATAAAGCCTAGTGCGGGGAGAAGGAACAGGGCATGCTGGACCCTGGGGACGCACATAAGGCCTAGTGCGGAGAGCAGCAACAGGACGCACAGGACTCGGGGAACACACAGGAGGCTTGGTGCGTGGTGTAGGCACTGGTGGTACTGGGCTGGAGCGGGGAGGTGGCGCCGGAAATACCGGACCGTGCAGGCTTACTGGCCCCCTTGAGCACTGAGCCTGCCCAACCTTACCCGGGTTGATGCTCCCCGTCGCCCGACCAGTACGGGGAGGTGGAATAACCCGCACCGGCCTATGTGGGCGAACCGGGAACACCATGCGTAAGGCTGGTGCCATGTACGCCGGCCCGAGAAGACGCACTGGTAGCCGGATGCGTTGGGCCGGCTTCATGACATCTGGCTCAACGCTCACTCTAACCCGGCCGATACGTGGAGCTGGAATGTACCGAACCGGGCTATGCCTGCGTACAGGAGACACCATGCGCTCTACTGCGTAACACGGTGTCTGCCCGTACTCTCGCTCTCCACGGTAAGTCCAGGGAGTAGGCGCAGGTCTCCTACCTGACTTCGCCACACTCCCTTTAAGCCCCCCCCCAATAAATTTTTGGGTAGTACCCACGGGCTTCCAGCCTTGACTCCGTGCTGCCTCCTCATACCGCCTCCTCTCGGCTTTAGCTGCCTCCAGCTCTTCACGAGGGCGGCGATATTCTCCCGGTTGTGCCCAAGGACCCTTTCCAGCCAGTATCTCCCCCCATGTCCATGAATCCTTTGGAGCTGGGTCCTGTTGCCGCTTGACACGCTGCTTGGTCCTATTATGGTGGGTTTTTCTGTCACGGTCGTCTATGTCGTCTAAGTATGACCAAGGCGCAGCGTGTCCAAGAAACATGACTTTATTAATTAAACGTTATCGAACTACAAAACAAAAGACGACTCAATGAAGTCCACGGTACACTGACCGAAACGGAACAAAAACCCACAACTCCCACAGGAAAACATACAGATAAATATGGCTCCCAATCAGAGATAACGAGCCGACAGCTGACACTCGTTACCTCCGATTGGGAGTCATTGACCAAACCTAGAAATGAACCCCACAGAAATGCAAACATAGAAATACACCCAAATACCCAACAAAACAAAATACACCCTGGCTCAAATACAAAAGTCCCGGAGCCAGAGTGTCACAGAATATGAATTCGGAGGACAGAAATTATTAAATATTAAAGCATTAGACCTATCACTAAAAGCTTCAGTCATACAAAAGTTATACTTATATCCGAACTGGTTCTCTAGCAAATTAGTAAGATTGTCTCACCATGTTCAAGAATGGCATTTTTCCCTTTATTCAGATTACAACCTCTCACTTTAAGTTATTTGAAAAGGAAATAATCTTCCAAATATCACTATTTCTAAAACAAGCCATTCAAAGTTGGTTGCAATCTCTATTTAATCCTCCAGAAACGACAGAACAAATAATGCAACAAATATTGTGGTTAAACTCAAATATACGAATTGATACACTGTATAAAATCAATGCACCAAATGTGGAGGTGGACAGAAGGGCGTTATTGCTGGTTCCACTGTGTAAAGAACATTGTATCATGGTGGGCAACTTTAATGTTTGGTGTGACCGGCTGTATGCCATGGCAAACATACGTTTCAGGTGGGACGAGTCCAGGACCACCCTGCTGAACGTGATGGCCACAAAGGGCCTGGTTGATGTGTGGAGGGAGAGGAATCCTGCCAAGAGGGAGTACTCCAGGCGGCAGGTCGACACGGGAAAGATGCGCAAGAGCCGAATCGACCTGTGCCTCGCGACAAGGGAGAGGACACGCTAGTTGAAAAAGTGGAGTTTTAGTAACCATGATGCCTTGGTGTGTGGAATAGGTACGGGAGGAGGAAGAAGGGGAGGCGGCCTATGGTGCTTCAACACCAGCCTTCTGAAGGAGGGGGGGTAAAAGTAAAAAGTGACAGAATACATAACCAGTGAAATGTCTAACCCCATGTATATGAGTGATGTATGCCTGTGGTGGGAAAAAGTTAAGGTTCGTTTGAAGGAAATTACCATGGCCTTCAGCCAGCAACTGCACTCGGCTAGGAGGCGGGAGGGAGCAGGCCTCTGAGGGCAGATGAGGCAGGAGCTGGAGAGGCCGGCCATCAATCCGGACTACACTGTGGATGAGTATGAACATTTAAAGGATAAATTAAATGTGTATGAATGGAAGGAGTGTATGGGAGCGATTGTAAGGAGCCAGGTCCAGTATGCAATGGAAGGTGAAAGGAGTACAGACTTTTTCCTGGGCCTGGAGAAGGAGAGGCAGGCCCGGTGCTATATCGAGTGGTGTCCTTGTGGAGGACTATGTGGGGGTCTTGCAGGTTGTGGAGGATTTCTACAGGAGCCTCTACACATCGGCTGGAGTGGATCAGGAGGCGGCGGACCGGGTCCTGGAGGGAGTAGGTGCCAGGCTGTCGGCGGTGGACGTGGCTTCCTGCGATGGTGACATCACGGAGGAGGAGGTAGGAGCGGCCATCGCCGGCCTCAACACCTTGAAGAGTCCTTGCGCGGACGGCCTGACGGGGGAGTTCTTCAAGGAGTTTGTGGAGCTGCTGACGCCGGTGCTTCTCCGTGTGTTCCGAGGAACATGTGGTGGTGCCCGACTTGATGACGATGGGGGTGGTGATGCTGCTGTATGTGTCGCATCCCTCCAATAGTGTTCCAGAAACTTGTAGAATCTATGTCAAGGTGCATTGAAGCTGTTCTGGCGGCACGTGGTGGCCAAACGCCCTATTAAGACACTTTATGTTGGTCTTTCCATTACTTTGGCAGTTACCTGTATGGTTCTTCATCTTTGGTAGATGGTAGATGAGATGAGAATCTAAGAGGATCTAGCTAGGCTGGTATTTGAACTAGTTGATTGGAGAAGTAGCCAAATATATTAGCTAATTTAATGTTGATAAAAAAAACGATATTCCTGTGTTCTATATTTGATAAGCTATTTAAAAAAAAATGTTGATTAAAAACAATGAGCATAAAAAAAACACTTAAAACAAATAAATGATGGATCATTTTGCAACCATGATAAAAATGTATGTATTTCCCCCCCTTTTTCATTCCTTTTTTATGCACTGCTTCAGAATTATGTCTTAGCCTAGGACTCAAAGCGGTTTTCTTTCATTTCAATCTGGTCTCGAAGCATTTCGTATGATTCTGTATGTAAATCCGAGACACTCCATTTAGTATGATATGTTACGTTTTGTAAGGTATGTATTCATTTGTGGATGTCCCTCACCCATTTCGTATGATATGTTACGAATTACAATTCGTATTATAAGTTACGAATTTGCAAAATGTACAATATGTTATGAATTTGTATGATATATTATGAATTCTAGCTAGATGGCTAGGCGACTAACGTTAGCTAGGCTAGGGTTAGGGTTAGGGGTTAAGGTTAAGTTTAGGAGTTAGCCATGTGCCATTGGAAAAATGAACTAAAACACTATCTGAAGAAGAACATGAAGAAACGCCAGAAGGATGTGCCAGGAGGGAGGGTGGGTGGACAACCATGCCCGTAATTGATTTAGGCTTATCCAAAATTGTGATGAGAATAGTTAATGCTAGAAATATAAGATGAATATACTGTATGTCAATGTAAATGTACATTCTGTCAGTATCGGTGTGTGCTAAGTTGAGGGTCTTAAATTAAAGTGATAGAACCAACATGAAGCACTAAGGACTGTCATTTTAAATTTGGGTTGCATATAATTTATCAATATTTCTTATAAAATATTTGGAAAAGTGAGGCTTCTGGAGCCATAGCTATGACCCGAAAAATGTGAGGAGAGCCACTAGATTGTAGCTTGGGCTAAACTTGCCCCAATCTCATTCTTATCAAGGTTGGTGTGAAACTGTTATAATGTGTTCTCTCTTCCCTGTGAAAGTCAATATGCATGTGCCCTAGAACAAATTCGGGAGATCTCTAGAGACATAGAGAAAATTGGAAATGCTAAAATAATTGCTTAAATTTGCTCTGCAAAACAGAGAGGCTCTTGACTATCTTCTGCAGGTCAAGGGGGCACTTGTGCAATCATTGGCGATGAATGTTGTACTTTTGTGCCAGATCACTCTTCTAATATGACTGATCTCGCCGAATATATTGCCACTGTTGCTAAGAATAATTCCCCACAACCAGAGTGGACGCATGCAACTTGGTTGGAATCCCTGTTTGGAAGTTGGGGATCCCAAGTTGCCAAATGGGCTGCAGCGGGGTTTTTTTTTCTTAGTTGGTCTAAATTGTGTTATTTAACATGCTGTGCATGTGTGTGTATTGCTGATAAATTCACTCCCATTAATATACGTACAGTGGGGAAAAAAAGTATTTAGTCAGCCACCAATTGTGCAAGTTCTCCCACTTAAAAAGATGAGAGAGGCCTGTCATTTTCATCATAGGTACATGTCAACTATGACAGACAAATTGAGAAAAAAAAATCCAGAAAATCACATTGTAGGATATTTAATGAATTTATTTGCAAATTATGGTGGAAAATAAGTATTTGGTCACCTACGAACAAGCAAGATTTCTGGCTCTCACAGACCTGTAACTTCTTCTTTAAGAGGCTCCTCTGTCCTCCACTCGTTACCTGTATTAATGGCACCTGTTTGAACTTGTTATCAGTATAAAAGACACCTGTCCACAACCTCAAACAGTCACACTCCAAACTCCACTATGGTCAAGACCAAAGAGCTGTCAAAGGACACCAGAAACAAAATTGTAGACCTGCACCAGGCTGGGAAGACTGAATCTTCAATAGGTAAGCAGCTTGGTTTGAAGAAATCAACTGTGGGAGCAATTATTAGGAAATGGAAGACATACAAGACCACTGATAATCTCCCTCGATCTGGGGCTCCACGCAAGATCTCACCCCGTGGGGTCAAAATGATCACAAGAACGGTGAGCAAACATCCCAGAACCACACGGGGGGACCTAGTGAATGACCTGCAGAGAGCTGGGACCAAAGTAACAAAGCCTACCATCAGTAACACACTACTCCGCCAGGGACTCAAATCCTGCATTGCCAGACGTGTCCCCCTGCTTAAGCCAGTACATGTCCCGTCTGAAGTTTGCTAGAGTGCATTTGGATGATCCAGAAGAGGATTGGGAGAATGTCATATGGTCAGATGAAACCAAAATATAACTTTTTGGTAAAAACTCAACTCATCGTGTTTGGAGTACAAAGAATGCTGAGTTGCATCCAAAGAACACCATACCTACTGTGAAGCATGGGGGTGGAAACTTCATGCTTTGGGGCTGTTTTTCTGCAAAGGGACCAGGACAACTGATCCGTATCGTGAGATTTTGAGTGAAAACCTCCTTCCATCAGCAAGGGCATTGAAGATGAAACGTGGCTGGGTCTTTTAGCATGACAATGATCCCAAACACACCTCCCGGGCAACGAAGGAGTGGCTTCGTAAGAAGCATTTCAAGGTCCTGGAGTGGCCTAGCCAGTAACCAGATCTCAACCACATAGAAAATCTTTGGAGGGAGTTGAAAGTCCGTGTTGCCCAGCGACAGCCCCAAAACATCACTGCTCTAGAGGAGATCTGCATGGAGGAATGGGCCAAAATACCAGCAACAGTGTGTGAAAACCTTGTGAAGACTTACAGAAAACGTTTGACCTGTGTCATTGCCAACAAGGGGTATATAACAAAGTATTGAGAAACTTTTGTTATTGACCAAATACTTATTTTCCACCATAATTTGCAAATAAATTCATAAAAAATCCTACAATGTGATTTTCTGGATTCTTTTTTCTCAATTTGTCTGTCATAGTTGACGTGTACCTATGATGAAAATTACAGGCCTCTCTCATCTTTTTAAGTGGGAGAACTTGCACAATTGTTGGCTGACTAAATACTTTTTTCCCCCACTGTATAACCTTTATTATGATGATAGTATTACCATACTACATTTACATTTACATTTACGTCATTTAGCAGACGCTCTTATCCAGAGCGACTTACAAATTGGTGAATTCACCCTATAACCAGTGGGATAACCACTTTACAATATATATATATTTTTTTTTTATTTAAGAGGGAGGGGGGGGGGGGGTAGAAGGATTACTTTATCCTATCCCAGGTGTTCCTTAAAGAGGTGGGGTTTCAAATGTCTCCGGAAGGTGGTGAGTGACTCCGCTGTCCTGGCGCCGTGAGGGAGCTTGTTCCACCATTGGGGTGCCAGAGCAGCGAACAGCTTTGACTGGGCTGAGCGGGAACTATGCTTCCGCAGAGGAAGGGGAGCCAGCAGGCCAGAGGTGGATGAACGCAATGCCCTCGCCTGGGTGTAGGGACTGATCAGAGCCTGAAGGTACGGAGGTGCCGTTCCCCTCACTGCTCCATAGGCAAGCACCATGGTCTTGTAATGGATGCGAGCTTCAACTGGAAGCCAGTGGAGTGTGCGGAGGAGGGGGGTGACGTGAGAGAACTTGGGAAGGTTGAACACCAGACGGGCTGTGGCATTCTGGATGAGTTGTAGGGGTTTAATGGCACAGGCAGGGAGCCCAGCCAACAGCGAGTTGCAGTAATCCAGACGGGAGATGACAAGTGCCTGGATTAGGACCTGTGCCGCTTCCTGTGTAAGGCAGGGTCGTACTCTCCGAATGTTGTAGAGCATGAACCTGCAGGATCGGGTCACCGCCTTGATGTTAGCGGAGAACGACAGGGTGTTGTCCAGGGTCACGCCAAGGCTCTTCGCACTCTGGGAGGAGGACACAACGGAGTTGTCAACCGTGATGGCGAGATCATGGAACGGGCAGTCCTTCCCCGGGAGGAAGAGCAGCT